ATTCAATAATAATCACATAATATATAAGGTATAATATGCATTTTAATTTTATTAATTTATTTTGTGGTTATTATTAGATTTCTGGACTCTTTCAATATGAAGGCATTTTATTTTTTTTATTAATTATTTTTAATTTATTAATTAATAAATATTAATTATTTTATTATTATTTTTTATTAATTATTATAATTATTAAATTTTTTTTTGAACATATTTGCAAGGGACGGGTTTCGAACCCAATTCAAGGAGAGGAAAATGCACCGGGGTGGCTATCGCCACTAGGCCGCAAGGGCCAAGTGCAATTATTAAAAATATTTAACTATTAAATTAAATAAAATTAATATCTTTTAAAAATACTATTTTATTATTTTAATGAGCATAATAATAAAATTGATGGCTAAAGCCGTCGCTCATTCGACTATCATTAATGTTCTCCTTAAATAGAAAAATAGAAACATCTGGTGGTGACGTATTGTGTAAAAAAAAAAAAAAAAAACCTTGATTTTCTCCTTTGAGAAGGCAAGCTACCTTCATCCTCTGGAACATAAGCAGATGCAACCGGCACCTGGCGGTGGCGGCAGCGCTGGCGGTGGTGGTGCTGAACTGAGTCGAGGTGGGCTTGCCCGCTTCCGCTCAGCTCCATCCACCTGGTTAGATGCAGTACTTGAGGGAGAGGAAGAGGAAGAGGAAGAGGAAGAGGACACTCTAAAGCCCAACCAGTGCTTGACTCAGCTTCTTACTTCCAATACTGTGACGCCCGAGGGTCGTAGCTCGGGTTCCTTTGCGAGGTCCGCGGATCCGGGGCCGTTTGAACCCTCTAGTTTTCAGAGGCAGAACAGTTCTCCAGCTACTTTTCTTGGGAATTCTGATGTCTACTTCTCTAACTTCGGAATTCCAGCGAATTATGAGTATTTATCGCCTAGTTTCAGTGTTTCTTCCGCGAATAAGCGGTTGAGGGAAGCCGATACGCAACAGCCATCCACAAAGTTTCAGTCTCAGTTGGTAAGTACTTTATGTATTCTCAATTTGGAACTGACTCTACTGTTTGTTCCCGTAATTTGTTTTATACAATTTTTAGCAACTATATATATGCTTTTTTTGTTTCTTTGTTTCTTTGTTTCTTTTAATTGATGTCATACGAAAGATATATATGTCTAGGACATTACTCCATTTAGCTAAAGCATATACTTTTGTGTTCATATTGTTAGAAGTTTTGAGTTTTGATCATCATTTCCTTTTCTTTTTTTTTTCTTTTTTTTTTGGGGTATAGAAAGGTGAGCAAAGTGGGGTATCTGATTTGATGGATAAAGACATGGAGAGGGTTTTGGAGGACTCAGTACCTTGCAGGGTTCGTGCCAAGCGGGGTTGTGCTACACATCCTCGAAGTATTGCAGAGAGGGTAAGTCCAATTTCTTATATATGTTTGTTGAATGTTATTCTGTTTTCAAGCTAAGCAAGTATCACCTTTTATGATTAGGTTCGGAGAACACGTATAAGTGACCGCATCAGAAAGCTTCAGGAACTTGTGCCAAACATGGATAAGGTAGTCATTGACCTCAGAAGTTTTAATGTAACAGGTTGAAATTTCCAGAGGGGAAGAAAATTTTTTTGAAGTTAAAAGATTCTTTTTTTCCTTTTGATAATAGGGGGAGTGAGGATTTTAACTTAAATAATCTCTTTGAGCATGGGTTTGCTACCATTTAAGCCATGTCTTAGCCTTTCTTTCCTTCTTCTCTCTTTTTATTTTTATTTTTAATTTTTTTTATTCCTCTAATAAACCGTGGTTTATTAATTGGTGCTTCTGTTGTTGGCTAAAGGGTAACTAATCTTAGTGAAATGATATAACTATTTAAGAAATAATGAAAGGTTCTGGTTCTGTGCAGAAGTTACGGAGATTGCAAAATTACATTACCATGAACTTCTGAAATTCTAAACTGGATCTGCAGAATTGTTTCATAAGCTTTTATTATTGGAACTTTGACATTTATGTACAAATTGTAGCCTTTCATGTAAGATGTCATCTCCTAATATTGCCAAAAGCAATGTATTTTAGACTTTTAAAAACTTTATCCTGCACTTTTCTGATGAGGAAACTTTCTGGTTGTTACTTGCAGCAAACAAATACTGCAGATATGCTAGAAGAGGCAGTAGAATATGTAAAATATCTTCAAAGGCAGATTGAGGTACTGCTTTCATTCATCTTGCTGAAATTATCCTTTTGGTTTTAACAGCAATGCAGATGAAGTATTGAAAATTGAGGAAATCATACACTTACTTTCTCTTTTCCTCCCTTAATGTCCAATATTTTGAAGTTTTTGTCATTTCCCTCTCCTTTGTTAATAGTTATCGAATGGTGAGAAGGCAAAACTCAATAGTCTAGTACAGAACTTGGTTTAAAGTTCAAATGTACTGATATAGATGTAGAAAACTCACCTACTGGAAAACCTGGATCTTGGCAGGAACTTACAGAGCATCAAAGAAAATGCCAATGTAAAGCTAAAGGATTGGAAGAAGATACCTAAAAATGCCTACCCACCACTTAGTGTAATTATGATAAAGCTCGTGAAGATCCACATTGTAATTACAAGATTCACCATCTACTGCATCACATTCTTCTTTGATACTTAGCTGATGGCTATTCAAGAAGGTACCTATAACAATAGAGTTCATTATCAGGATTTCCAATTCAGTTTTGCTAGTACTATCCTCAGAGATGCTTGTTGTTATTGTAGCTGTGTACAATATTATGGACAAATAATATAGTATATCTTTTGAAGTGTTGCCTTGCCCTGATTAAGATATTTGTTTCCCCTGATTCTTCCTGTGTATCTAGACCATTAAAACAAATTTAGTCCTTCATTGACAATTTAAGAAGTTCTTTGATCAATAAAAATCACTGCTGAAGATTACAAATACTTTATTGCTATTAGTTTTTAGCATTGGACCATTGTCATCTATGATATTGATTCTTAATAGCTTTTATTTATTTTGTCATGGCAGAGAAAGAAGGTGTCAGGTGAAAATTTGTCTACCAGTTTGATGAATTCCATACTTTTGCAAAGTAGCTGCAATTATCATCCTGTCGTTACATATCTGTGTGCTTTGAGCATTTGTAAATGTTTCTCCTGTAATTATTTGTTTTATATTTTTAATAACAAGAAGTTTTTGCACTACCACCACTCCACAAATCTTATAAATTTCTCTTTACACGAGTTTTTTTTCAGGAGTTAAACCCTGGACTTTGGTCAATGCACAATGCTTACTTAGCCATTCACCTAATCTCTATTTCTTTCCAGCTGCTTTCTTCCATGCTTCATATGCTTCTTGCTAACAACTTTCAACATGTTGGATTCTGGATGTTAGATTCCTTAGAAGTATTTACCTGAAGAAGTTGCTTGAATAACATTTAGATGACTATTGATACTGATTTTGAATCACAGGCAAATGAAACATTAAATTG